TACACCTCTTTACTTAAACTGTGCTGATTTGTGTGAAGATAACATTTAAGAACTTGGAGAGAAAAAGCTGTACTGCTGTTCCAGCATTCCTGTCAGCCTCCTTTTCAGATCTGTTTTGTTCCACATGAGCTTTCCTGACAATTGTACTGCTGTTGTAGCTGAGACCTTTGCAATAGTTCATTGCTGACATGCCCAGTCTTCTGTCACATATGTGTCTTTTTTTCAGGAAGAAATTTTAAGTGAAATACAGTGCTTTTTGGGGAAGGCATCTCTTTTTAATATGACTGCCATTTCAGGTTCATTTTGTTGAAGACAAGTCAAAGATACATCTTAAAGTTGTGTATCTTACACTTGGGGAATAAGCAGATTAAGCATTTATTGATTTTTGTTCAAGAGTTATTTGATTCGCAGTGTTGATCAGGTCTCTGTCAAGTTCCCCCTTGTTAATTTTTTCTGTGTGGCTGGTAAAGTTTCAGTGTGTTGGGAGAGATGAAATGTGATGCTTTCTTCTTGCCCTAGAGCTGCAAGTTTTCTCTTTAGTTTTTGCTCCAAGGTACTGAGAATCCTACCAGTAAAAATCAAAGCCACGGGTTTTGGTTACTTGCTTTTCTGTTCTCTGAGGGCCAACCATACAGAGAGGAGAATTGATTTTAGATCTGTGCTATTGCTAAGATCTATGCATTGCTAAGAAATTTGCAGAATTTGTTGAAGAGCAGTGCCTTCTTCCTAAACTACATTGCACTGCTGTATTTAAGCTGCACAATAACCTAGTTGCACATAACTGATGTTGTATCATTTCCTGCCTGGATGAGATGGAGATGGAAGAATACCTCACATTCAGAGCCTTCTGGATATGAACTTGGCATTATTATGGAAGCCAGGAGTACTGATAAGTGAACTGAGTGCAGTGATTTTGGGTGTGTATCTTCAACCAAGGGACTTTATGGTCTGTATATGGCTATATATATATATGTATATGGCCAGTGCCATTTAGGTCTTCTTGAGCAAACTTGGGTCTTGACTATATCATTTCTGAGCTGACATCTTCCAAGGCTGATCATCCATATGATGGCCGTGTAGCTGTGAGTGCTGAAGTTGTTACTCACTGAGTAATCTCTTCAGGAGGAATTCAGACTATATTCTTCAATGTCTGCCAGAATCTTGGTTCATCAGGTGAGATTGTAGTGTCTCAGCTTACAGGAGAAGAGTCATGGTACAGGAGAAGGAGCCGACCTGTAGAAAGAAAATGTTCATTTGTAGAGCTATGGTTCTGATGTTTTGCTGGAGATGTATTTTCTTTGAATGCCACTGCTCAAAGTATCTGTTATCACTGTTGGTGATAGGTGTATGTAGGGCAAGTTCAAGTGCAATTCCAGTTCCTGGAACTGGAAGAAGATAGTCAACCCCCTAGAATGTTTGGTGCAGAGCTGCTCCCTGGTAGCTTTTATGAGAAGCCAGTAGTGCTGGCAACACTTAGACGCGTAAGGAAGAAGAGGTAGTGGGCATTTTGGGAAAGGCAGAAAGAAGGAGAGATGGAGTAGCAACTCATAAGGGGACAAACAGGAGGTGGATACGTTGTCAGCAGCTTAAGAAAGGTAGTTGTGGAGGCTTGGTTGTTTCTGGGTCAGTATGGTGCTGTACAGAGGAGGACGTGTTTGGCTGTTCAAGCAGTGTTCAGGGCCAAATGCCTCTTTCACAGCTTTTTAGACTGCTTACCAGAAAGTCTCTGGCAGATCTGGCTGCACTCTGCAGGTCAGGTCTAGAGTTACTGGTTATGACAGCTGTGATGGCTGACACCTGTTTGCAGTTGCATTACTATGTAGGTTCCTGTTACAGGATGGTAGCTCAGCTGTAGAAAGGAAGGCTAATGTTTGTCATGTCCTGAGGTGTACTTGGCCTGGTAGAGCGCCTAGAGGGAGGGGACGTTGTACCAGCTGAAGTGCAGGGTAGTGTAGTCAGCGAGGCAAAAAGGATGAGGGACTACCTCCTTAAAGTAAAACACCAGAAGAAAAAGCAGAAATTTGGAGTCTCCTGAAAGAAGGCAATAGCACAACCACAGCTGGATCTTAAGTAATAAAAAGAGAGGATTTTCTGTGTCTTCCCAGAAATGACCTTTTCTGCAACCTCGGAAATCACAGAGTTGCTGGAATAAGAGCAAGCCTGAAGAAATGATCCATTTTCAAGGACATGTGAGCAGAGAAAACATGGTTTACAGATTATTTTTTTTTTTTTTTAAATTCCATTTTGTGTGGCAAAAGTGAGTTTTCCTTTATGTTCCCTTACTCTGCTTGATATTCTAATGAAGACTTTTAAGATTTTGAGTCTTTTTCAGTCTAAAAATCTTTATTTTAATAAAATATTAAATATAAAATATTTATTTTAATGAAGATTTTTAATAGATTTAAAGCCCATTTGCTATTGGAGTCCTCTTGCAGTTGTGCAATTGCCCTGTTTGATTCCTGGTAAGTCAGAAGCAAGGATCTTTCTGTGGTTGCATTTAGGACATAATCACTGCCTTAATAGTGTTGCAAATTTGCTGTACCTTTTGGACCAAAATCTGAAGACAGCCCGCAGGACACAGGTTGCACATTTTGCTTGTTGGATAGAATATCTTTGATTAGCAGAGACTAAAGACTCAGCATTCCACAGTACTTACAGGTTGTCAGTAGTGTCTCTAACATGCTGGAGTCAAAGAGTAAATGCTTTTTGATCTAAAATCAAGGTACCTAGAAAGTAGGGCAAAAGATAACTTTAGAGATAGCCATTATGTAGGATTTTTGTTCGTAATTATTCTAAGTTTCTTTCTGATGACAGTGTGGAAGAAGTGGGCTGATTAATAGGGGTTACAGTGAGGAAATGATTAAATTTAAGAGTTTGTTATTTAGAAGAAAACACTGTACATTGAAGAGACAAACAAATAAAAGATACGCAGACTCATGAGTTCGGCAGAGCAGGGAAAGTATAGGGAACCCAGCAGGAGACCAGTTCTGAAATGTAAGCTGCATCTGGCTTATGCATGACTTGAAAGAAAAGTTATAAGGAGTTAGTGAAGGCAAACAGTGGAAAGTATCAAGGAGAAGTATTTTGGAGTGGAGTTAGGCATTGTTACTAATTTGGTTTCAGGTGGACTATGCCAGGCAGCTACAGCCTGAAAGCTAGGAGAAAGAAAGACATCTACAATACTCAGATTTGAATAAGGATGTTATTGCAGAGGATTATCTTAGTGATGAAATGTCAGATTTCAGAGGAAACAGACATAGTTTCTACCAGATATGGGGACATACAAGGAGGGAAGGAGTTTCCAGGGTAAAAGGGAGAATGGTTATAGTGTCTTTGGAAATCAGAAGAAGAGGAAATGGAATCTGTGATATAAACTTGAAATATCTGTGGCGTATTTAGAATGAACTCATAAGGGTTCATATGTATATAGATGCAGTTTTGCAAATAATCAGTTGGGAGTAAAATTTAGGAACATAAAATGTGCAAGTTAATTTAAAGAGTTTTGAATTTAGAAATGTGAAGTCCTTCACAAGTCCTCTACACCAAATAAAGATTCTGGGACATTAAAATAAAAATCCCAAAATCTATATAATGAAAGAGCACTTTAGCAACAGAAATTCTGTAAGAAAGGATGAGAAAGAGTATGGATTCCCAGGAATATTTCACTACCTGTCTGCCTGTTCTTATCTGTGTCAGCTTGTCATTTTCTGGACTTACGGCACTTTTGAAAAACCTGTTTCCTATCAGTGCATACTATTGACACTCCATTTCCATCAAACCTTTCTGTCACTGTCTTTTTCCTCTTCAGCCATGTATCTCTGCCTCCCACATTCCTCTGTGCTATATTAGATTTTTAGTTTCCTGACCTGATGTATATGACTTCCTTCTTTCCTATATGTGTGTATGTGGGAGTGTGAAAGCTTTACAAGACTATTTCTTTCTTAATTTGTATGAAGGTTGTTGTGACTGTTTAACTTGACAGCTGTAGCCTTTTTGTCATTTTATTATAAACAGATATTTGAGTCCCAGTGAAATTTTTGGCAATATCTTTTCTTGAATCCATGCATCAGAGTTAATCACCACGTTTTCTGTATGGTGCACAGGAGAGAAGGGCACTGAGAAGTAACATAGCCCTAAGTCAGTACAGTGACTGAGAAACCTTAGATACCCTGTAAAAATTACATCAGGTAGGCATGATTGTATCTCTCACAGGTTTGACCACCTGGGTTAGGGGTGAAGCATGATGCCTTCCTCCACTCAGGTCTCACAGCAAGCTGGATCTGCAACATGTTTGATGTGGGTGAAAGGCAGTTAAAGAGGAAGGTTGGACAGGGCCTTAGGTGACATGTTCTGATGTGGTGTTCCTGCCCACGGCAGGGGTTTGAAACTAGATGATCTTATGGTCTTTTCCAACCCAAACCATTCTATGATTCTAAGGTTAGGCAGCCTGTGTGGGAGGTATAGGAAGATTATTACCAGGCTCTGCATAATGTTAGAATGAAGATGGGCAAAGATGTGTCCAGCACATAATTTGCAGCATTAGTTGTATTTGTAACTGCCATTTACAAATCTGAACTGATGCAACTATGGAAGACATTCATGTGGCAAGAGGTTTGCAGCTGAGTTTTAGCAGTCTAGCTAGGATCTAGACAGGAAGGGCATTGTATCATGCTTTTCTTACAATTGTTTCTCAAATATCTAATCCAGGAGTACAGGTTGTATTTCTGAGGCTTGTCCCTACCTCTGAAGCTTGGCCCTGCAACTTCCTGTCTTTCTCCACTTACAGTGGATCTTAGTATGTTTGTATAGCCAATAGTTTTTGAAAGGAAGTTTCAGATTCAGCTCTTCAGTATATTTTCCTATACATAACCAAATCTTAAATTCTGGTGCAACTGTACTAAACTTGCAGATTCTCTACTAAATGTATAACTATCACCTTTCCTGTGGCTTCCTCAGATCTTGGACTTAAAATGGATGTGTACTTTTCTTTTCTCTAACAGCAAAAGCGGAAACTGAGACTTTACATCTCCAACACATTTAATCCTGCAAAATCTGATGCTGATGACTCTGACGGCAGCATTGCTTCATGGGAGCTGCGAGTGGAGGGGAAGCTCCTGGATGACGTATGACTTACCTGTGCTTCACTGGGGCTGGCAAGGATCTAGAGGTTGTCCTGTGGGGTGGTGGACTTTACTGGGGACATCAACTGAGACAAGACATCTCTGAATGGCAGCATTAGCTTATTGCTGCTGGGAAGGTGCTGTGTCCAGCTGGAGTGAGGGATAAGACCATAATGTAAATGTTGGGAAGGGGCAGGGAGGGCAACAGACTTAAGGACAGGACAGGTATGAAGAGGTGGAGAGAATAGGGCTGAGACAATTCCCTTAAAAGATATGGCAGGGTTCAGGTCATGAGAGGTGTGCCTGCAGCAAACATTGCATCTTCTGAAGAGTACGATGACAAGGGGAGGTGAGGAGTTTACATTCCTAGGGAGGACAAGATGATGTATGGAAGGTGAGAGCAAGGATGGAAGAAAAGTTTTATCATTCTGAAGTCCTCAGAAACCTCAGTAATGGATTTAGCCTTCCTTGGGGAAGGCTGGACTTTCCTAGAAAAAGGTGTCATTTATTTGAATAGACTGGGCAAGCTAAGTATTTGATAAGATACAGATGGAGAGCATGTCTGTATGGAGAGGACAAGGCTTTCAAGGCATATCTCTGTCTGGAGATAACTGTACATGAATCAAAATCATAATCTTGCTGGAGGATGAAGGGGTGATAAAGTGCGACATCTGGAAATTGAAGTTAGACAGACTCAATTTAGAAATTAGAGCACATATTTTAACAAAGAGAGTCTTTATTGGAACAAAATAGCTTCTCAATTACTGGCAATTTTAAATTGCAGGAGGATGTATTTCTAAAATATTATCTGCATTAAATGAGAAGAAAATACTTGAAATCCTGTGGACTGTATTCTATGAAAAGTCAGATTATATATATATAAAGTATGATTATAGATATGAAATCATAGATATGTATATGTATATAAACTTCACAGTTTTTCATTCAGACAGTATGAGCTGTCTACTAAAAAATAACTGATAATTAAATCGAAAGGCAAAATGTAAAAGGAAATACTTTTACTTAGTGTATGATTAATCTGTAAAATTTACTGTTATCTGACAAATCAGACTAAGAAATTAACACTCATCAAAAAAACAAACTGTTAAATAAAAGGTATACAGCAGCCATAGAATCACAAAATGGTTGGTTTGGAAGGGGCTTTCGAAGATCATCTACTCAAACCCTCTGCTGTGGGCAGGGACACCTTCCACTAGACCAGGCTCCTCCAAGCCCCATCCAACCTGGCCTTGAACACTGCCAGGGATGGGGCAGTCACAGCTTCTCTGGGCAACCTGTGCCAGGGCCTCACTACCCTCATTGTAAAAAACGTCTTCCTTATGTCCAATCTAAACCTATTGTTTTTCAGTTTAAAAGCACTGCCCCTTGTCCTGTCACTACAGGCCTTGTCCCCTTCAAGTATTGAGAGGCTACAATAAGGTGTCCCCAGAACTTTTCTCTTCTCCAGGCTGAACAAGCCCAACTCCCTCAGCCTGTCCTCACAGGAGAGATGTTCCAGCCCTTGGATTAATTTTGTGGTCTCTTCTGGACCTGCTCCAACAGGTGCTTGTTCACATTACAAGCCAGTCTTTTCCAATAACATTAAGAGAGTAAGGGAAAACTTCCCTCAAGTGTGCACTGTTCCACTGCTGTTGAAATATTTGCATCTTACCCTGCATTTGTCAGAGAGAAAACTTAATTAGATTGATCACATCTGTGGTCTATATGGGAATTAATATTCAAGAGAAAGAGAAGGAAGCATAGAACACAAGCTAATATACGCAGCCTTAAACATTTCTGTTTCTTCTGCTTGTACAGCTCAGCAAACAAAAACGGAAGTTTTCGTCTTTTTTTAAGAGTTTGGTTATTGAGCTGGACAAAGATCTTTATGGACCTGACAACCATCTTGTGGAGGTAAGAAGGTCATGCACCCTTTGCGTATAAACCTGACACTAGCGCAGGTAAACAGCTTTGTTCCTGTTTTCTACCTTGTTTAAGTTCCCTTGCATTCATTATCTCATTAGAATACTTCGTGTAAAGTTTTCAAAGTTCCATTCTTTTTAAGAATTGTTTTCCTAGCAGAATCTATATGGTCTAAAACCATAGATGTGGTGGTGATGTAGTGCACATCTTTGGACAGAATGTACGAAACGATGAAAATATTGTGCACATTTTTCGTAACGAGTAAAGCTTGTTAACAGCAGAACAGCTTGTGCATGTAAGCTGAATTGTAAGGGCAGAGCGAGAGATTAATTGGGGGAGGGAGGGTGTTTTGTGGGTTTTTTTTTCCCTTTTCTTTCTGTTTTTTAATTAATTGCAAGATCTCCAGAAGGCTTGTACTAGTCTTATTCTTACATGGCATACTGTGCACCTCCATGGATATCACTGAAGAAAAAGACTGACCCTATTACTTGCTTTTTCCTTTGGCAGTGGCACAGAACTCCTACAACCCAGGAAACGGATGGCTTCCAGGTGAAAAGACCTGGTGATGTCAGTGTGCGGTGCACATTACTCCTCATGTTGGACTACCAGGTCAGCAGACTGCTTTTGGCATGGGAATTACAGCCACTGGGACATAGTGCAACAGAGCAAATTCATCCTGTCACATATATCAAAACCCAATATACTTGGGACTCAGAATGTCACATAGTCCATTGAGGTCAGAATGACACCAAACTGACAGATTATTTAAAAATTAAAGGGGACATATTAAACAAGTTTCTATTACAGCCTAGCAAAATACTGTTCTTAGCACTATGATAATTAGTATTTTTATTGTCCATCTGCAGAAAGAATATGTATTTCCACCTCACACTTCTCAAAGAATAGCCAGATAAGTTGCACATGAGTTATGGTTCTGTACAGAATTTCAAAGGAGCGGCTTTTGCTAGTGGTACCTGAACTGTGCAGCTGTGGCAGCCTTTTTTTTCAGAGCAGACTACACAGTGTTCCTGGGTTCTTCAGTTTTGATTACATTGTGCCCTAAACTGTCATAAGACAACAGTGCCCTGAAAGGGTTAGAGTTGCTTTTACTAATAGTAAAAGGTCTTGTTAGGCATTCCTGCTTCCTTTCTTTTGTCAGTATTAGTTCTATTGTACTAGTAGTATTTGTGGGCTGAGCCCAAACAAGTCAGGGAACTGATCCATTTGAAAACTAACAAGACTGACTTTGAAATTGGATCCCTGATCCCAGTCACAGGAAACAACAACAACAAGAATAAGTTAGGCAAAATTAGGTTATTCTGCCTTGGGATACAATGTGTAAGAGGTTCCTGGGCACAATTTCAAACTACTTTAAGCTATCATAAGAATAAGCTGCTCAAAAAAACCCACTTTCATTTCAGTTGTGGCTGTGCACTGCCACAGTCTCCATCCTCTTGGCACAAACAGTGGAGATTGCAGTTGTGGAGCTCACTAATCTGACTGAAACCATCCCTGAATGAAAAGTTGCTGTCTTAAGGAAATTAATAGAAGTTGCTGAGAGGACATGGGATCTCCCTTCTCAATGGTAGTTCAGTCTCAGATACATTTTGATTGTATAAGATCTTACTTACTCTGTGCCATTCTCTTTCCCCTCCATGCAGATAGCATCTGTCCAGGGAAAAGACATTCCATTTTATGTTAACATAGAGAAAATTTTAGGAATTTAAGAGAGTGTATGAGCTAACTGCAATGCTGATGTAACCAGTTAAAATCTTTATTGTTAAGACAGTATAATGGTGTTTGTTATGCTCACCATTATTATAAATTTATGCTTTAAAAAAGATGTTCTCCTATGCTTAAGTCTCGATTTGCTCTAAAGTTAGCATTGGGTGACAGGACACGCAACAGTAATCCTTGCCTAATAATGTGGCAATTATTATACTTGAGTATGGGAGCACACTAGAAGGGGCACCAAATCCAAAAGTATCCAAGGAATGTATGTTACTAGAGATGGCAAAACACGGTAGTTCAAGAGTTGTATCGCAGAGGTCAAGAGAAGAAACATATTGTATCACCTAGCTATGGTTTGTTAAATTTTTTGGTACCCTGCAGAATGGTGTGAACATGCCTGAAAAACAGAGTTCCTGGGTATTTTGTTGCTGTGAGGCAGCTGAGCATTTATTAGCAAAAGTTGAAACATCATCCTGACTTTATTCTCTCTGTCTGTGGTTAACCTTCAGAGGAAGGTCCATCCTCTTTCTTCCCCACTTCCTAAAGTCAAGATATGCACCAGTGTTGAAAAGGAAAATTCCTTTCTGAGTCTGCATGCAAATTGTTATTATCTAACTAACACATGTGATACAGATAGTCTGTGTGCATAGCACATGTAGAGTGTCCCTCTTTTTCTTTTCAAACCCTAGACATAGCTCTTCCAGAGCACTGACAGTGATACACGTTTGAGCATTTTGTATTTTTTTCAATCTCTGCTATTGCATGGGGTGCTTTGCCTGAGAAACAGAGTCCCACAAGAATCGAAGCTGAAACGTCATATCTGTGTATCTGGTTGCTTTTCTCTCTATTGCCATTTCCATCTCTTTCTGTTACAGCCTCCACAGTTTAAACTGGACCCACGACTAGCCCGTTTGCTGGGCATACACACACAGACCCGGTCAGCCATCATCCAGGCTCTCTGGCAGTACATCAAAACAAACAAGCTGCAAGACTCCCATGATAAAGAATACATTAACTGTGACAAATACTTCCAGCAGGTAGCTCCCTTTTGGACACAGTAGCTCTTCAGGGGCAAACTGGAGTGGATCCCTTCCAAGAGGCTATTTAGGTTTTGGTTGAAAATAAGTAAAACCATATTGCCTTTTTATTTTCCCCTTAATCTTAGAAAAAAAAACCCACCCAAAACCCCAGATGTTTTTAAAATTCCAAAGTGTTTTCTTGTATTTTTATTTAGCATGAAATATTGCAGGAAACATATCTTGGGAAAAATAAAGCAAACTGCTTTTATATTTCCTCTGGTAAAAAAAAAAAATTTTTTTCTTTACGATATGCTGTTTCAAACCCTTACTGAAAGAGGAAGTGTTCACTTCTCTCCCATTATCGATACACTTGATACTGGTGTTCTGTTAAAGTGGCCTCTGCCCTTTGGCAACTAAACCAAAAGTGGCATACCTAAAATTGTTGTAATCTGATGCATCTGTCAACTAGCCCAGGCTGTAACTACAGAAGCATAAAAGCCAGAATTATAGCTTTCAAAATCACCTTACTTTTGAACTGTTGATTTCTTACTTTCTCATTTGATTGCAGTTTATGTTTTGGACAAGGATAACATGCTTTATTGTATTCCAGATCTTTGACTGCCCACGGCTAAAGTTTTCTGAAATTCCTCAGAGACTCACTAACCTGCTGCTGCCACCAGACCCTATAGTGATAAACCATATAATCAGGTAAGTGGGTGGGTCAGCTCAGCACTGTCATGTGCAAAACACTCACTATATAAAATACAGAAACAGCTACAGTAGCAGGGACCAGAATCTAGTTTTTATAACTTCCAGGTTAGTACCTTGGACTTTCTTGTGTGTTTATTCTCTGTGTCATTCTGGTCTATGTAATTCTGAATGATTTTCAATAGAATGGTACCAATTCTCTAGGAGTATACAAAACAACTTCTTATTTTTATGCCTACTAGAATACCACTGAAAGAGTTGGTCAGGTTTCTTTCCTAAGGGGAGAGGAATGAGAGTTTGAATCCACTTAGAGGGAAAAAGAGGGAAATGAAGTAAGATATTGTACATCATGAACAATCATTCCAGTCACTGTAAAATGTACAGCAGTATTACAGTTTCAAATACAGTGGCCAGTCCATGCATGCTTTGTTGGGATTAGGTCAGCTGTTGTTTGGGTGTTGATCTTATTTCTAAGAATGTAAACTAGTCAGAGATCTCAAGAGATTCGCAGTATAGAATGCCTAGATTCAGAGAAGGTCATTGTGATCAAGAGTACTGAGCTTCTGGCATCCTTGTCAAAACAAATGTATTCCTGGCATAGTAGATGAAATACAACTCTCAGCTATCTAGGGCACTTCCAGCACATTCCGTATATAAGTGACAACTTGGAGGGGGGGAGAGGGACATGGACAGATAAAGAGATTCTTTATCTGTCGTTCAGATACTTCAGTCTTTCCCAAGTTCTTTTGTGGTCTTGGTCAAAACTCTGATTCTGGGTGTTTAAATATTATTGTTAATTGAGCATAGTGACTTCATTTCCTACAGAATATTGACAACAAACATTTCTGAATATACTTAAAATTAGGTTCTTTATTTTAAATTTAATATACATTATAAGAAGTTTAAATATTACATAGGCTATCAAAACAAAATTTTGCTTTTTGATTTGAGTGTATAAAACAGAGTAATCAAAAAGCAGCTTGACTACCATGTAGATTGCTAGCTATATATAAACTGTAATTGAAGACAACTCAGTGACCTATTTGGTGGACCAAAAAAAGCTGAGGTCCTCAGGGATAGTCATTGTCTTGAAGAAAAATGACAAGGAACTGATGGTTATGTTTCCAGGGGCAGAGAGACAGCAAAGAGCCTCTGAATTCTGATTGATGAAAGATGAGACAATATACTAGGATATACAAATATATAAAGATACTTTTGTTCTTAAACTCTGTTCTTAAACTCTTAAACTCCTAAGTGTCTGCAGTGGGCTTTATCAAAGAGTGTATTCTTGGCTGGATGGATATTTATTCTGATTCATTACGGCAGTTCTAATGGTCTTCTGTTATACTCTCTATAGTGTTGACCCAAACGATCAGAAGAAGACAGCTTGTTATGACATAGATGTAGAAGTTGAAGACCCATTAAAGGGACAGATGAGTAGTTTTCTTCTCTCAACAGCTAACCAACAGGAGATTACAGCATTGGACAACAAGGTACTAGCCCAGGAGTAAGGTATCACATGGCATATATTGCGTATCACATGACATTGCGTACCTTCATGTGGGCTTGGTGTCACATGTCAAAGACAGTACTGTTATAAGACAGAGGCTTCTTAATTGGATGTGCTTTCAAGGGATGAATCAGCCACATGGAATGGGAATACAGAGGAGTGAGTGGCATTCCTGGTTAGGATGTGATCCAGGGCTTGACACAGTTGTCGAGGTGATAGAAACAGAGTTTCATAGGTGGTATAATGAGTCCCCTGGCATTCAATAATCATCTGAACTGTTTGACTATAACTTTTTATTGAGAGGTCATGGTATCTTGCTAAATTGCTATAAAGCAAAGCTAAGAGAATGTCATACTCCGGATGTGTCTTGTGCCTGTTTGGTTGCAGAACAGCTCTCTGCTGTAGGTGCAAATATGGAAAATGCATGGAAGAAAAATCAATTGGAGCAGTTGGCAGAATTGTTTTCAGGGTTATTGAAAAAGGATCACGTGTACTTTAAATAACAGTATCTGTCTTACAGCAGTGGTGAGCTCTGCAGGCTTGTATTAGGGGTTCATGTAGTGGACTGTTAGCCAGCTTTTGGCATGTGTATAAATGGCTGGTTTAGGTTGGTAAGGAATGAACAAAAGTGGCTTCTCAGAGCAAGGGAAGAAGAGGTGTGACACTGGACCAGAGATGACTTATGTGACGTACAGATAGGCCCAGTTTCTGTTTGTTTACCTCTAATACAAACAAATATGTTAAACCCTGGTCTTCATATGATTTTAAAGGGGGGCTGGACACTAGCAGTCCTGTGTATTCTGGTAACCACTGCAGCATTTTTTGTTTTATGGCTCTTGAGAAAGGTCCTTTGCAGGAGGGCAGCTGCTCAGCCAGTTGGTTCCCAGCCTATATAGGCTTGCATGCAGCATGCATAGCGTTATTCCATTTCCAGTTCAGCCCACGATTTCCGATGTCTGCATCACTCCTTTTTTTGAGCACCTCCTACAGCAGACAGCAAGCTATGATTAGTGAGGTTTCTGAAGTAACTTCTAAGTGAACTGGCATAGGCTGCTGCATTGTTACCATCTGTACCATTTATTGCTGTGCTGTCACAGAGTCCTCTAGTGGAAACTCGGTGCGTGCCAACAGATTTCTCTCCAGCGTGGCTACATCATTTTCCCAAATAAGGAATGATTTTAAGTGGACAGCAGCTCTCTTCTGTTAACATACCATATAGTTGTGCATACACTAGTGGCCTTGATGGCGCAGCGAGATCAGGGAAGGATTATTTTCCCCATGTGCCTGGCCATATTAGCTGTTATGACAAAATAGATGTATACATGAAACTAAAAAAGACAGGTTTAAAATGTCAAACTGGAATTTGAGAGGAATGGAATAGCGGAAGTTCGCTTTTCTATGTGTGTATGTGCAAATGATTCATTAACTGTCCTCCCACTGATCATATTTGATCTTGTTATCCAGGATGATTATAGGACCTTGACTTTAGGACTGTTTGGAGTCTTCATTCTTCCTTGATGGCTAATGCTCAATTTTTTCATCATATTTCTGAAGATATGACTCATTTTCTATAAACTTTCCATATTCCTGAGTTTTCATTTTCACACTCTTTTTGGCACCTTTAATGGGCTTTCTCATAAGAAAAAAATGTAGAAGTTGTGGCTGATATGTGAGTTAATTTAATGTGGACGTGATCAGGCAATCACTAGAAATTTTAAGGATCACAGCAAGGTATTGAATATATGATGATGATTAAACTGGGCAGTAACTGCTTTCTTGCATTGGGCACTGTCTAAAGACATATTATATAGCATCTTTCCTGAAAAATCTCAGAGTTGTCAGAAAGACTAATTATACACAGGACATTATTACATTGTATAGCGACATGACTTAGCTCTTCAGTATTGTATATAGCATCCTATTCAGCAGTTCAGTGTAGGAAGTGAAGAAGAATCCCATACATACCTGTGTAGCAGAAGTACAGGTGAAACCAAAATGTAATTGCAAGATTGCGGTGAACTCCCTCTTTGAAGGGAGAAAGCCATGGGGACCTGTGCAAGTCTGAGGTACATAACTGTCACCTTTATACTTCACAAGAAATGCTAATAGGGCTCACCTCAGGGTTACTGGATCATGGGAAGAATCAAGTACATCTGCTTTGTTTTTTTTTCTGTCAGATTCATGAGACAATTGAATCTATAAATCAGCTAAAAATACAACGTGATTTCATGCTGAGTTTCTCCAAAGATCCCAAAGGATACATCCAAGACCTTCTCCGGTCCCAAAGCAGGGATCTTAAGGTAAGCTAAGGTTTGAAGAAGAATGAATAATGGAACCAGAATATAAGAATTTTATCTTAGTGCATATACAGTGTATAGCTAAAACATCCAGGATGGAAAACTGGTAGAAGACGGATATTGAGTGGAATACTGCAATCCCAGAGCAGACAGTATGCAGGAAAGACAGCTTAGGCTGTATTCTACTTTCAGCAGAACAGCTGTGCTTAACGGTGGGTGAATTTGTGGTCAGACAGCAAGAGTGAAGTGCAGGGCTGTGTTGGTGTATTCTGTAAAATTAAAGCTGTATTGTGTATGATAACACAATTTGAGGATTTTGTTTGTTCATAATTTAATCTTATTTAATAAACAGCACATTAAATATGAACTGCCTTTGAGCTTAGCTTTGAGGTACCTAAGAAATGGAACGTAAACAAGTTCATTTTTTTGCCAACAAAAATTAATAATTTGTTCCTCATAAAGACACCTCAAAATCAGATGTATTAATGAATCCATGAAATGATTTTAATAAAATTGTATCTTTCAAATAGAAATGTCTAGTTTCTTAGTCAATAGTCTTCCAAAGGTCTGTTGTTAAGATTATGATTATTATTATTTACACTGTATTCAAAAGGGGACAGGCATTTGAAAGAATGTTTAAATAAAGCACCTTTTAAGCTTGAAGAGCTTAAAAACTAAGTTGCTGTAGAGCTTCTCTGACTGAATACTTAGAACAGTTGTTCAGTGCTCTCCCTGACTGACAGCCAGTCCCCTAAGGGCCTTCTCTGTAATGTTCTGCCCTGCTTGCATTGGAATTATAATTGCACAATAGTACTCTGCAAAACATGTAAAGATTTTTATATTTACCCTTAATTCTGTGATGGTGGAGACTTAGTCATCCGAATGTTATTTTTTTATAGAATCATAGGATGGTTTCAGTTGGAAGGAACCTTAAAGCTCGTCGAGTTCCAACCCCCTGCTATGGGCAGGGACACCTTCCACTGGACCAGGTTGCTCCAAGCCCCGTCCAGTCTGGCCAGGGGTGGGGAAGCTACAGGTTCTTGTGGCAACCTCTGCCAGTGCCTCATCAGCCACATCATAAAGAAGTCTTTCTTATATCTAATTTAAACCTACCCTCTTTCAGCTTAAAACCGTTGCCTCTTGTCACTACAGGCCTTGGTAAAAAGTCTGTCCCCACCTTTCTTTAAAAACTCCTTTAAGTATTGAATGGCACAGTAAGGTCTCTCTACAGCCTTCTGTTCTCCAGGGTGAACTCCAGCTCTCTCATCTTTTCTTCATAGGAGAGGTGTTTCACCCCTGTCACAATTTTCGTGGCCTCCTCTGGACCCACTCCAACAGCTCCATGTCTTTCTTGTACTGTGGATCCCAGAGCTGGACACAGTACTGCAGGTGGGATCTCACAAGAGCAGAGTAGAGGGACAAATCTAGCTCCAGCTGGCCTTAGCTTTCCTGAGCTGATCCCTACACATCTGGGCAGGATCCCCATATTCTTCCCAAGATACAAGTCCCTAGTTCCACTGCCTGTTCATTTCCTTCTTATGCTTTAGTTTGACCAAGACGTCCTTGCTGTGTCATGCTGGTCTCTGCCTTCCTTTCCCTGTTTCTTACAAATGGGGATCTAGAGCTCTTTCACTCTTAAGAAAAATGTCCTTAAAGAGCTGTCAGCTCTGTTCAGCTTCTTTGTCCTTAAGGACAGTTTTCCAGGTGGTCCCATCCACTAATTCCTTAAACAACTTTCTGTTCAAATCCTACTTTCTTGGTAGTTGTGTAGAGACTGGAAAAGCAGCTCAGGACTTTTCTGAATTACTAGGGTTCTGTTCCTCACACTTCAGTAGAATAATTTGTCCTTAACGCTTTCGCCATCAGAACTTTACTTGAAATCAAGGTAAAATACACTTTGAGATAAGGGCAACACTAGTATAGATTTGTGTTTCAATCTAATGTGAATACCCTAATAATTTCAAACTGTTACCTTATGTATGGGTAACTACTGAGGTTCTTTGAATACATAGGCTAATAAAATAGATGGTGCTGGGGAACTTTTCCTGGGTGCTGGAACTAAGCTATCCATGCTGTCAAACTGTTAGTGATTGTGGCACTTGGCCAGGGCAACTACTGGTGTTTAGAATTATTCCTTGGCACAGAGAAAGCAGAGGTTAGGAGCTGTTCACAGCTGACAATTTGTATGTGACCATACTGTTTTGGTAATTAAGCACACATGCCATTCATTGTCCATTTGCCTTGGGCTTAAAGAATGGTCCTGAACATTTTTAATGTAGTAATACAGATAAAATTTGACTTTAGGTAAATCTCTTTACATTTCTTTACACGGTAGAGGAACTATAATGAAAAACATTTTTATTTTTGTCACAGGTGATGACTGATGTAGTTGGAAACCCAGAGGAAGAACGCAGAGCTGAATTTTATCATGAGCCATGGTCTCAAGAGGCTGTGAGCAGATATTTCTACTGCAAGGTATGAGGGAATTATCCATACTGCTGGCTTATAAATGAATCTTCTGCCACTAAAAAATTGAATCTGCTAAACTGTATAGTTTCTCTTTTACTTTCAGATCCAGCAGCGCCGGCAGGAACTGGAACAATCTCTGGGAGTGCGCAACACATAAGTACTGTTCACAAGATCCCATTGGCATCATGACCACCAAACCAGTGGACTTCCCAGTGTTACTTAGCTCACTGTTACACATGGACCTGCTTGCTGACTGGATGAGAATGTACCATCAGCACACCAGTCAGAACACCAGCTTTGAGTGACCCTTGAAAATCTTGCCCATGGGGTGTGTCTCAAACAATTCAAGGCCAGAGACAGCGCCATACAGGTGTCAGTGTTAAAGAAGATTAAAGGTTCATTCATCAACGCACATTATTAAGTTTTAGTGGAAAGTTCAGACACTACACAGCAAATCCTACTGGGCTATGCATAGAATTGTGGGTGGCACTGAAGGGGGAGGTTGAGATAGGTATTATAGGAGACTACAGATTTAGAGAAATAAATGCAGTTCTCATACTATTTACCTAAGAGTCTCAAATAGTAACTTCTCTGGAATTATACAAGATTGTCTTTCTTATAGCTGTGGAATGCTTTACATTCCTGAATAGATTTTTTACTCCAGGTGGAACAGTACAAGAAGCCATCTCACCATGGGAGAGAAGAAACTAGGAGGATTTTCATTTCTGGAATGAAGAGCCCTCTGGAAGAAAGAAGCATAGTCAGAACATCTCTTCTGCAAATTCTAATACTTCTTTTTTCCCTTGCCCCTGCAGTGAAAGGTAGACTGATTTACATTATCTGTAGATGGGTATGATCAGTGTGCTGTACTGAGAGGAAGAGAATTATCTGAGGGATAAGAGCTTCTTAGGCATCCTTTATGTCAGTGGTATTAGCAAAGCTGAGGTTGAAGCAAGAAATGAGGCATTCTGAGAAGATAAAAATAACTTAATGGTGCTTTGCTGATACCTGCCTTGAACACAGCAGATACTAACAATAAGCATATATGTAAAATACAGGACACTTAAATGTTTCTCTGTGTGCCAGTAGGGATCTGCACTGAAAAGAAGTTCCCTGATTGTTAAGTTGGTGCAGAATCCAAGAAGCTTAACTTCTTATAATGTGGCAGTTTTCTCTTCAAGATGTTAACAGGTCTCACATTTTGATTATAGGTGAACTGCCTGTTACTATGAATGATTTGGTTCCCCCATACATGATACATACTGGTCATATAGGATGCTGTTGAGTTATAAAGCACTATCAGCCTTAAATAGCACAGAGAACGTATCACATTGAAACCATGTTCTTTGTAAATGTACAGCAAATTCAGACTATGGGAATTTAAACCATATTTAATTGGATGCAGGGACATCTTCATTTAATCCTCCTCTCACTCTCATTTTTTGTAGTGCATAGATTAGTCTGTAATTAATGGCCCAACATGACTTCTAGTGCAAAAAGCAGCTGCCAGATTGTAACTGTCCAGATGATGTGGCACTCAAAATGCTCTTAGGTTACTCCTTTGAATCTCCTTTCACTTTCTTGGAAAGATAATCAAATTCACGTGTGGTACGGGAGACTGCTCTTCTGAATAATGCACTTTGCTATAGTATTGTCCTTCTCTCTTCTGCTATCTTTGCCAATTTCTTTCTGTGTCGAACTGAAAGTTTCTTCTGTCCAGTCACAAGAGATAGTCTTCTCTTCCACCCCTTCATTTAATACCTGTGCTTTCACAGAAATAGTGCTATAGCCTTCACTCTGTCCATTGTGTTCAGAGATATCGTGGAAAATTTACATTTGATTACAGTCATGATGGTAATACCATCGCGCAGAACCATTGGTGTGAGAAAAAGCATAGCTGTACCTCTTTGCCCGAGGCCTTTTACCAGGAATGGCTTTGTTTGGAACTTTTTTTGCGTTAAAACCTCTTTTTGCAGTAAAACGTGAAATCTTGCAATCTTAAACGGGGTATGGTGAAGGGCTGTGAGGCTGCCAGACTTGAAATCTTACTTTCTTTAGGACTCCACTAATTGGAATACAAGCAAGCATTGAGGGAAAACAGTGGGGATCGTCTGCTACTGTGCTTCCATATTTATTATGCTGCTGTGTCAGTTGTGTGCATGCTGTCCAGTGTATAAAACTCTTTTCTGTATGTGGTAAACAGAGCAGCTACATTCAGGGGATGCATTCAGTCTCAAGGAATAATAAATGCGGAGAATGATATGCAAGGATGTGAGAAGGGCATGGGACTGGGATAGATGCCTATGGGATGTCTGCCAAGGAATTTTGTGTTTTGAGAACTTTCCCATTGAAGTGGCAAATCTTTGTACAGAGAAATTTCAGTCATGTGCCACAGCTGGCAACATAATGGAGTCCAGCCTGCTTTTAGAATCTCTCTGTTGAATTAATTGGATGGATCTGTTTCCAAGTCTGTTTCAGAGCAAGCTAATGAAATTAATGTGGTATTGCTGCCCAGTGTTCACAACAGCATCACTGGAGGGTGGATCTATGTAAAGCACCAATGCTGTACTGAAGTGTGTATGTGTGCATGTGTCCATGCATGCACATGCATGAGTCAGCCACTGTAGATGATGCTAAGGATGTCAATCCAAAATCTAAATTCTTACATCCCACTGACTATATTCCTACTGTACGTGAAAAGAATGGTCACCAACAGTGAGTCTTAGGAATAGCTGTCAGGTGTGTTTCCTTTGATTAAACTGGCATTTGAGATTTTGATGCTTTTTTCCTGTGTTTGGGTCTTCCACTGAAGAGACACAGAGAAATTCTGTCCTCTGTTCCAGGAGTGCAGCCAGGAGCTTGCTTGTTTGCAAAAAGAGAAATTATATTTGAAGAGAAATAATGGAGGAATACTGGGCATATGCTTGGGCATATGAAAATGAAAATGCAGTGGTAGTAGTACTGAACAGGCATGTAATTGTGGCAGATTGTGAATGATAAATTCATTTTAAGTTCAGAATGGTTGTCATTTTGTGTGTATAAAAAAGGAAAAGAAGATGTTTGGTTTGTTCAGCCTGGAGACAGCTCCAGGGAGACTTAGAGCAACCTTCCAAAACCTAAAGAAAGCCTGCAAGAAATCTGGAGAGGGACTTTTTACAAGGGCAGGTAGTGACAGGACAAGGGAAAATGGCTTTAAACTGACATAGGGGAGATTTACATTAGATATTAGGAAGAAGTTCTTCCCTGTGAGGGTGGTGAGACCCTGGCACAGGTTGCCCAGAGAAGCTGTGGCTGCTCTGTCCCTGGAAGAGTTCAAGGCCGGGCTGGACAAGGCTTAGAGCAACCTGGTCTCGTAGAAGGTGTCCCTGCCCATGGCAGGGGATTGGAACTAGATGAGCTTTAGTGTCTCTTCAACCTGAACCACTCTGTGATTCTGTGTTTTGGAGTCTTCAGTTGCTGCCACAGTACGATACAAATCTGTGTATATTGCAAGAAAACATTCTGTGCGTAGATGTATTTAATGCATAGATGATAATATAGACTGTTAGGAAATATAGCATCAAACTAGGAGAGGGTTAAAACAGAATTCTGGAGTACCAGTAGAAGATAAAGCTGTCTGGGAGCTGAAGTGTTGACATGGCAGGTTTGAAACACTTTTTTTAGTCCTTTGTGCTGTTGGCCATGAGGCAGGATTCAGACCACGAGTTCTTAGAAGTTTAAGGGAAAACAAATGATTGATTATGGAATAGAGAGAATACAGCAGTAGAAAATGAAATAAAAAGATGGAGCAGAGCACCACTGAAGTGTCTGTAAGACTTAGTGCAGGATAATGTGCAAAGTACTTTGGAAATAGCACAGTCTATGTGAGTCTGTATATGTTGTGTGCACGTGTGTATGTTTACCTGTAGAGAGCATTTGGGAGAGAGCCAGTCTCAACTTGGATATAGCCTGGGAAATGGCCAGGCAGGACAAATCCAAATGTTCTGCAAGTAATTTTGAGACATACTGTCAAAACATTTTCCACTGTTATTAACAGGGATTCAGTTGTTCAGCTTAGCAGGGTGAGTAGTTGTAGTGCCGACATTGTTTCAGCTGGCAAGTTTTTTAAACCACATTGTTTAGAATTTATTCTGTGGAAGCCAAGTGAAAATATTAGTTCATATGTCAATATTGGGGCATATCCTCGGGTTTCTAATTTTGCCAAAATGCTAATTTGGTATTGGGGTTTTTTTTTGGCCTGTTTTGTTTTTTTTTTTTTTGTTTTGGTATCTTGATAACCCTTTATGGCAAAGAGGGGGAAAAGAAAGCACTTTTTTCCTGAAGAAAGGTCTCCTTTCTGTAACTGCTCTGTTGTTTAATAGGATATATCTGTTCTGCCAGATCCTGTATGATAAACACCTTTTCCAATCTCACTGAAGAAAGGAACTCCATTAAAAGAAAAATACAACTGTGGGTTTGTGAGAGTGAGCAAATATGTGTATAAAGAGGGGGAGAGGGAGAAGAGAGAGACTCCCTCTACTCTATAGCCACCATATCTTCATTGTATGATGCTGAGTGATTCGTAGGAAAGCTTTTAACAATAAATACTTTGTTTCTTTGTATCTTTTGCACTAACCCTGCGTTTCTGAACAAAGACAAGTACAGTTGGTTTCTTTCTGCTCCTACTATTCTCAAATTTTTGGATTTCCATTCAGCTTTGCATGCACCTGCGCACACCCATACACAGGGTTAAACATACACAGGTTTTCATAGGACTTTACAAGGTGAGAATTGTTGCTGTTTGTATCTTTCTTATGTAAATTTGTTTCTTCACTGGATTCCGTCTTCAACCATTTTCATAATGAAACAGAGAAAAGTCCTTACTATTGGAGGGGTCTGGCTCCCCTCCAGGAAAAATCCTTACCACTGGAGTACCTTTATCACTATCACTGTTACTGTCAACAACCAAGTTGCAGCTGGGGCTAGAGCCTGAATGCTCAGAGGTGTTGTAGAAAATAATACAGGCACCACCCAGACTGCGGTAGGAATTACACAGATGTCACCTCCACTTTAATAAAAAGAATCAGAGTTCCTTTTCCACTGCGTTTAATACAGCAGTTACAACTCGAGCTGGGTGCCTCTCCAGAGGGGCCTGCCTGTTGATTGTTACTGCGTTTCATAATCTCTACAGGTTCCTTGATTTCTTGGTGGCACTTAAGGCGCATAAAAACCTGTTTGCTGAGTCTGGTTTTTCTCCTTTTCTGATTTGCTCCCACAGCCTCCAGGCTCCCTTTTTGTTGTGTCTTGAGACATTTCCTTATCTTTTGTTACATAATATCCTGTAAAGTTTTATTTATACTTATCTACCAGTTACATTTCCATAGATAAAAACAAAGGTTAAAGTACAGTACAAGTGGCCTAAGGTTTCATTTA